CAGCTCCCTATGAGGCACCAGACACAGGAGGACTACTTTGTATCAGACTAAAATATGTGTGTATAAGAGGTCAGATAATTAAGTTTGCAAACTCACCCTATAAAAAGTGCTACATACCTCACTGCTGAATATCACTACGGTCACCTTCAAAGTACTCCCCTTGGGAAGCTGTGCACCAATGCCAGGCCTAGTCCACCCTTCAAAGCAATTTTGGAACTCTTTTTCTGGAATGGCCATTAGAGCTGTGGTCGTATTACCCTTAATGTCCTGAATGTCATCAAAATGTCTTTCTTTCAATATTTCCTTTATTTTGGAATAAAGAAAGAAATCATTGGGGGCCAGATCAGGGGAGTAGAGAGGGTGTTCTAATACAGTTATTTATTTACTGGCTAAAAACTCCCTCACAGACAGTGCCGTGTGAGCTGGTGCATTGTTGTGATGCAAGAGCCATGAATTGTTGGCGAAAAATTCAGGTTGTCTAACTTTTTCATGCAGCCTTTTCAGCACTTGCAAATAGTAAACTTGGTTAACTGTTTGTCCAGTTGGTACAAATTCATAATAAATAATCCCTCTGGTGTAAAAAAATGGTTAGCAACATTGTTGCAACAAGTTTGCAAATGTTTAATTGTCAGACCTCGTGTATAGTACAGAACATCCCTTGACCTCAAGAACTATAGAGATATAGATGGGGAGAGACAGATTTTATTACAGGGAGGAATCAGTGATCTGATAATACTTAGGGGGCTGGGTTTTAACCTGTCTGGGCCAGAACCCAGCCTGATGACCTTAGGTGAATCTCTTAGGGTACCCTCAGCCAGCAGTATTTGCTATCGTACATTCTCTAAGTGCTGGCTGTTTTTATTTTATCAAAAATCGGGGAAGAGAAATAATCCTTAAAGAAAATAATTTGTGACATACTGCTGTCCATTTACTTCTTGGATCTAAGCTTTATCATTAGCTCAGATCAGATCGCTGGAAGACTACATTTTGGACAATTTGCCAAATTGCCTTTATGTAATTGTATTTTAGTGTCTTATCCTCAGAACTTAAGATGTCAAAGCTGGGCCGAAGTCCTGTTCTGTCAATTAATGGTTATGTGATGTTGGGAGAGCTATTTAACTACTTTAAGCCTCCAATTTTTTTTTTTTCAGAATTAATGAATTGTGAAAGTACTTTTTTTTTTTAAATTTTCAATCCATTTTTTTTTTATTGGGTAATTGGGGGGATGGGAACAGTACTGGGGAATTGGGGAAGGGGAACAGACAAGTTGCTGTCGTTTTTTGTTCTTCACTCTAGTTGTGGAGGACACTGCTTCACTGGCCCAAGTTGGCACCATCATTGCGCTCTTCCCTGGCGAGGCAGATCAGTCGCCGGCTTCTGGACGGCCGCTCACTGCGGCTGCTGGCCGCTCACGCTGGCTGCTGGCCGCTCACGCTGGCTGCTGGCTACACACGGTAGCCCATGGCAACCCACTGCCACAGGGGCTGCAGCCTACGCCGTCGCCAGCGACTCACGGCAGTCCAGCTCCAGGTTGAGCTGTTGTTCAGCATCTTAGCTGTAGAGGGCAGTGTCACTGGCCCTCATATGTGGGATCCGAACCCGGGCCCTCTGGCATCCCAAGCGAGTTCTTAACCATCGCGCCACTCGGCCGGCCCAAGCCTCCAATTTTTAATTTGTGCAATATAATAATAAATACTTCATAGAGGTTTTTGTGAGGGTTTAATGATCTAGCCCACGTTAAAAAAAATAGATGTTCCTATACTTTTAAAATCATTTGTAGCTAAAAATTAATTTGTAGCTTAAAAAAGCCACAAAATTCATTTTGGTGTATTTGCTATAAAATCTGTTGTCAAATCTGTTGTCAAGGTCATTGCCAATTTTCAACGACTCCTCTAAAGAATTCCATTTCGGTTTTACTACCAGTTTAGAAAGAACTCTGCTCCTGTGAGAAAGTGACATTTCCTCCCCAACCCCCACTGTTTTCTCCTAATAAGAATGAGCGAATTTTCCATGGTTTCCTTTTTGTCTGGGCTGCAGAGAAACTCAGAGTAATATTTGTACATCAGAGCAAATATATCAGCTTGCCTGGTTAGATTATCTCTCCCTCTCTCTCTCCCTCTCTCTCATAAAGCAGCCTCACAATAAAAAAGCGAATTCTCTCTCTCTTTCTCTCTTTCTCTCTCTCTCCCTCCCTCTCATTTAGCTGTAATTTTTTTTTTTTTTTTTTTTTTTTTTTTTAGCTGAGCCATCCTACTACCTGTTGGCAGCTCAGCGGCTGCTCAGCTTGGGCTGGACTTGAATCGCTGTTGCTCAGAGCTCAAACTCTTGAGCGAGCTCTTAACCAGCTGAGCCACTGGGCCGGCCCTTAGCTGTAATTTTAAATTTTCTACTTGACTATTTAAAATTTCTATTCAGGTGTCTTATTTTCAGCCATTTTGAATCTCTTTGGACAGAGGAATGATCTGAATGAAGTAAAACTGTTCCTTAGACTCTCAAGGTCTCTATTTCCTCATCTGACAAAAACTCTGCTTATTTTAGAAGGCTGACAAAATTAGGTAATACAGTGGAGTGTGTTTTGGAAAACCAGACAGACACACTGTACAAAAGTCAGCCCTGGTCCAGCAAAAATGGACCAGCAGCCACCGACATGACGCTAGTGTCCCTCCTGCTCTTTAGCACAACCCTCATTTCTGAACTCAGAATTAACTCCATAATATACTTTGAAAGCGGATCTGCACTTGGAGTGACCCATAACCACACCTCAACTCAATGACCCTGGATGAGACGCAAGATCATTTAGATTTGGCATTCTGACAATGATGCTAACTTGTAGTTCGCTGGATCTAGTGGTGAGGGCAGGAGGAAACGTAAGGAAGGCGAGAGGAGGGGAAGCTCTCTGAGCCTACAGCCATGGCTTTACTCCATTTTCCCTGTGTGTCAAAACCTCCTCTCCCCCTGGGCCCTGACCACACAGACACTGCTTTCTCTCTCGTTCTTTGCTCCCCTGTTTTGTTTTGTTTTCTCACATCTGCTTCGAGGTCCCAGAGCTCAAAGTGGAGAAGTCTCAGGGCTGGCTATGTCCATAGCAGGTGTTTTCCTGAGTCTGTGCTCCTCACAACCCCTGTCATGTTTAGATGCCTAGTAGAATAGCGGGGAGAGTTTTCCAGTAGGAAAAGGAAGATCCTGGCTCATAAACTTATATGCTAACACTGAACCCACGAGCAATTGTAGCCTCTTGAATTATTTTTTTTAAATTATTCTCTTTAAAATACATATTGTTTACTTATTTTAAAAATAACACATGATCACTACAGATATTTAAGTTGGGGCAGAAAATATAAAGAATAAATCTGCTAGGATTCACCATTCTATCATGGCAAAAATAACCACAGTTACCCTGTTTCCATCTCATAATACATATTGGTGATTTTGCCACACGCATAATTTTCTTTTGTTTGCTCTTAAATAAGTGTATAATATTATATCATATTGAGCCTCTGTATTTCATTTGTTAACTGGATATGCTAATATCTACCTCAGAACTTGTTTAAGGGTTAAATGAAATCCATGGACAGAAACATCCAGAAGCATAGTAAGCAGTGAGTAAATGTTAATTAATTTTGAATTGAATCAGTGTTTGGCCCTGGAACTGTGTCTTTCTGCCTTGTTCCATGAAATGCTCTATTTCTACTAAAGTCATGACCCCAGTGAGCAGACATACTGGGAAACATCTTAGACTAGGACAACCAGACTCTGCTTTCTAATTAGACAAATGTGAGTGGGAAAAAAAAGGAGGGGGGATGGTACCAGATTTCCTTAAGGCTTAAATACTGCTATTTAAGAAATGCAACTGAAAAAGCAAATCCTTCAAATAAAGCAGCCTCACAATAAAACAGGGCACAGTCCTTTTCTCTGCAGAAGGAATCGCTGATAGGAAGTACAGGAAGGCCACTGTTTGGCATGGAGCATTGTATTACTGTGCTCTTTACCTAAGAAATCCCACAAAGTTTTAAGCTCAGGGAGAGCATGTCTCCTTGCAGAATTTATCCCCTCCCCCAGGGAACTGGTTTCCCAACCTCTGTTCAATGACACTGAAGATCAGAGCACCTGCTCCCAGATTCAGTTTCGACATTGCCGCATCTCAAAGAGATTTTGTTAGCTCTAGCGAAATTATGCTGCCAGTGAATGGGGAGGGCGACATAAAACAGGAAAGATAACAAAACATAACCTACCGGAAAAAAAAATCCAGAAAAAAACCCCCCAAAAAACCAAATAGGATTTTCCCTGAGGATGGAGCTATCGTTACTGACTGCAGTAGATGAGTGGCTAGGAACCTGCATTGGATCTCAGTGGACATCAATAGGGAAACTGTCTAGTACCCATGAGAGAAGCCCAGTGTGGAGAAAACCCATTCCCTTCAGAAGGATAAGTCAAAGGGCCGAGAATGGGTCGATTGATGAAATGGCGTGATGTGGTCAGAGCAGGAGTCTGAGAGACTGCTCACCTACAGACGGCGGCCATAACTTGCAGGAGCTCATTTACTCTTGACTCAGTCTGCTCTGTTTCTGCTCCGCTACCACTCAGGCAACACTTAACTCTTACAAGTAACTATCATTTTTACACTGGTAAGAGAAAACAATTTGTTCAGCCCCATTCATTCACTCAAGTATTTATTAATTTGCCATCTACCCATTCACACACTTTCATTGAGAGCCAATGACTCTAATAGCCCCTTTCTATTCTATTTCGTATTCATAGATTCTAATATGAATCAGAGATGTATTCTACTTCTAGGAGTTCACGATCTAGTGAGGGAGATAATGATCTGAATATCAATAATCACAGCACATGGACAACTATTGAGAAGTCTATTGAGGAGGCAGAGAGAGGGTGCCTGAATATCAGCAAGAGTAGCTGGTATACAGCAGTTTGGGACTTCAGGAAGTCCCCTCTCAGTACTGTAGGAGTTAAGGGTCTCTGTCTTCCCTATCCATCCACAGGGTCCTCCAGGGTGCATCTTCCCTGAATGAGCACTCCACAATCCCAAACTTTCCTGGGTCACCAGCTCTTTTAAGACCTACCCATTTATCTGAAGTCAATGTGAAGAGGTGGTGTCCACGGAACTGGACGAGACGCCTGTGTTGGTAAGAATTGGCCTGCATGTCTGTAAGGTAATTCACTCCTCTAATCCTATGGGTATATGTTGAGCCTGGCATGGTTTCTTAAGGAAGCATATACACTAGATAGGACTACAGGGCATAGGGAAATAAATATTTCTGCTCTCTCCCCACCTCCCTCTCCTGCTCCTGCGTGGCCTCTAAATGACCTGGCAACCAGGTAGGATTTACACATCATGTTGGGCTCAGGTGAGAGCTGCCTCAGCAAAGCCTATGAATGGACTACACCAAGAAGGAGGCATCTGTGGCTGGCTGACTCTAAGGCTGTTGACAGGGGATGATGCCTCAGAGGACAGGGCTCCCTCCTGACTCAGGAGCTGAAGTCAGAGAGGGAGAAAGGAGGAAGGGCTGCCTCCCAGAGTGTTCTCTTCTCTGCAGGACAACGGGGATTGCAGCTGCTGCCAGCCTCTGACTCACTTATCTCCAACAGGATGGTCAGGGCTGAGGGCCTTTCGAACACTCAGGAAAGAATACAAATCTTAACAGAGAATTACTATTTAGATGCACTTTGATTCGGAGATCCTTGGCTGCCTATTACAAACAATGGCAGAGTTTTAAAAGGTACAGATGGCCAGCCCCCACCCCGGACAGTTTAAATCAGAATTTCTGGGGGATGGACCTAGGCATTGGCGACTCCTAAAAGCTCCCTGAGGGATTCTAAGGAGTTGAAAAGACTGGGACAACCTGAGCTGTTACAGAGTACTTCAAACCTGGAATAAGTAGTGGGGGATCATCTGGAAACTACTGAAGTCATTCCTGTTTATTCTCAAAGTACAACCCCTCACACCTGTGTGATGCTTTGCCGTTTACAAAACATCTCACATTCATAAGTTAATTTGACCCTTCTTGCACCCAAGAGGAAAGTAGAGGGATGATTAACCCTGTGTTACCCACGAGGACATGTCTTTCAGAGCCAGCAGATGATTCCCCAAGATCTCAAGTTACTGGCAAGGCCAGCAATGAAAGCTGGATGTTCTGACTCATGAACCAGTGTTCCTCCTCATTACCAACTAGAAGTTCACTTCTCAGGACTCCAAGTGCCCTGGCCTTCTGTGGCTTTGACATCTGCTCCAATGTGCTTCTACCTCCATCTCTGCTCCTCCAAAAATGGAAATATTCTTGGGAAAAGGGATACAAATCTATACATATGAAGTGGTAGAGCTGGGGTTACCTCCTGGGGTAGTCAAACATTTTGAAACAATGCCATTTGCTTCTTTATAGAACAGTGATTCTCAACCTTGCCTGCGTATTACAGCCACCTTGGAAGTTGTTAAAACTCTCAATGCCTAAATTGTATGCAGGACCACTTAAATGCAAATCTCCAGGGGTGGCCTAAGCCTTTTGAAAGCTCTCCTGCAACCCAATGTGCAGCCAATGTGATGAAGCCTTGTGAGACTTGGATACTTAAGGAGAGAGATGATCTGTTAATTGCAGAGCAATTTGCTCCAGAAAGTTACTTAGGTGCTAATCTAGCATTGCATGTATGCACATGCTGCTACATTTCCACACCACTCTATTCATAAACTGGCATGGTGTTCTGTGCCCCCATGTTGGGTTGGCACTTCTTCTGTTGTATCTCCCATAATGCAGCTTATATCTGCAAGGATGCTTCCATTTGCAAGTAACAGATAACCCAACTCTAAACGTCTTAAGCAATAAGGAACATTAAGTGTCCTGTGTTACGAGAGTTCCAAAGTAGCGCAACTTCATGGCTGGTGAATCCAGTAGCTCAAGGACCTCATCAGGGACCCAGGTTCTTTTTACCTCCTGATTTGTCCTCCTTGTTTTGACTTTTTTTTTAGACTTGAGCCTCATGGTCAAACTATAGTTGCTACTGTTCCAGGCATTGCCACAATATCTGATCCAACAGTAATAATATTTGTTTACTTTTTAAAAGCAAGGAACTCTTTTTTCCAGAAACCTCTCAGCAAGCTTCTTCAAATAACTCATTGGCCAGAATTGGGTCACATTCACACCCCTGAAAACCAGCCTTGGCAAGGGGACTGGGATTTGCCTAATTGGCATAAACTCATCTAACATAATGCTCGAGCTGGGGTAGAATAATTTTCCTTGTGGAATGGTTCCCTCAACAAAACTGGTGTTCTGCTGGCCAGGAAGACGAAGTGGGTGATGGTTTATTAAGAAGCCAGTCCCATCTGATGAAATGGAAGGAGCTAGATTTGAATTTAGAAGTCAAATCTCAGCATTTGCCCTCACTATTTTTGTGACTTTGGATAAGTCACAGTCTCTCTAAATTTTCTCAACTGCCCAATGGAGACCATAATACATACCTATATAATAGATGGCTGTGAGCATAAAATGTATGAATGTGCCCAGAAACCACCAGACACTACCTGAAATATACTAGGTACTTAATATATGTTTGCACCTTCCTTTCCTTCTTTTTATTCTCTACTTACTTCCTCATAATTTTCAGTTCAAACATAGTTATGACTACTGTCAACTCCAAGTTAAATAGTAAGCCTATAGACAATAGAAAATACTGCTTGGAAAAGGTATAGAGAGCAAAGGAGAGAATGTAGGTGAGAAGATAAGGTGAATTGCCGCTTAGAACTTTCTGACAAAAAACTTCTGAAAACCTTTTCACACTTTCCTTGGGAGGTTTCACCTATCAGTCTGCTTTTTTGTTTGTTTGTTTTTTTAAAGATTTTATTGGGGAATTGGGGGAGGGGAACAGACAAGTTGCTGTCCTTTTGTTCTTCAGTCTAGTTGTGGAGGACTTCGCTTCACTGGCCCATGTTGGTATTATCACTGCGCTCTTCCCGGCTGAGGCAGTCGCTTGCCAGCCATTGGACGGCTGCTCACGGTGGCTCTTGGCAGCTCACACCAGCTGCCGGCCAGCCCCACTGCAGCCTACACTGTCACCGGCAACTCACGGCAGCCCAGCTCCAGGTCGAGCTGTTTTTCACAATCTTAGCTATAGAGGGCACAGCGTCACTGGTCCTCATGTGTGATCTGAACCGGGGCCCTGCTGCTCAGAGCTGGCATCCCAAGCCAACTCCTAACCAATGTGCCACTCGGCTGGCCCAGGCTGTTTTGTTTTTAACATTTTAAAGGGTCTGTGGACTTCTTTAGTTTTCTGATATTTGTCAGGGTTCATTATATTTCACTTGCTAACTTAAGAAAGTGGACCATGACATTTGAGAAAGATTTTTAGAAACAAATGCTTCAAAAAGAAACATTTTCTAAGACAAAGTAACTATAGAATACAATTGAGTAGAGTGGCTTCAATCCTCCCCAGTCTCTGGGAAGAGGATGGTAGCCTATTTGTACATAAATGTAGATAGAAATACTTAAATGATCCCCCTTGTTTTCTGTTGCATACACTTCTCAGTCCCTGGGCAACTGCAGAAGGGAGTGTTCCTGGAAACCTGTGCAGCCTCACCGCAAGGTGTTGGCCTATCTCCATGATTCATTCTCCAGGCTCTGGTTTCAAATTCAACTGAAATGCCTTCACTGAGACATCCTGGGCATCTAATGTTCCATCTCTGTTAATCTTGTTTGACCATTATGTTTAGGTATTAACTAGAAATAAATCCCTAAACCCCAAGAGACCCTTAAGAGCATGTAATCAGTCTACAGGACAAGCTTGAGAGGCAAACACTTGTTTTCAAACATTCCATCTGCTTTCCTCAGATTCCTTGTGATGGACACTTCCAGTTTCTTCTTTCTCCCCACTCTTCTGTTTCCCTCTCTTGCTCACGTTCTTCAGAACCTGGCCAAGGAAAAGGATCTCATGTTAACCATTTATAACGTAGTAGAAATGCAAGTTCATGGTTTTTTAGTCCTCATAGACATTCTCATTTTATATTCGAAGTATCATTTTATACCTAGAGGAATTCCATGTAATATCTTTCAAGCAGAAGAAGGCAAAAGCTCACAACACATGTAGCTATTATTTGAAAACCCCATTAGCCCATTCTTAGTACCTGTGACTCTGGTACTGCCCTCAAGAAGATATTTTAGGATGAAAGTCTGGAACTGAAGAGCTGGAGCCATGGATGGTGGTAGAAAGTTGGCATGTTGAGGGAATCCTGGATCAAGGATGAAGCAGAGTGTAATAAATGTATTTCTCCCAAACACCAAAACTAAGTCAGCCAAAAAGGAAATCTGGATGGTGAATGTCACATTGTGTAGGGTCAAGGATTAAATGAGGCAGAAGTAGATACTTATTATGTACATAGATCACAGTCCAGAGTCAAAGATAGGCTAAGTATATTTCAGCCTTCATATACCTTTTTTAGGGTAAGCCCTTGTCCAACGTTTAGTAGCTGTGCTCAGCAAACACAGTCTGCCATCTGGGATTTTATCTTGATAATTTTTATTTATCATCTAGTAGACATTTTCTGCACTGTTCTTTTTACATCAGCAAACTGGGAATTTTCTGTGGTCCACTGGACCTTAACTCTAGAAGTTGTGCTAGGAAAACTAACAGATAAGGACAATGCTAATCATTACTGAGAGCAAGTCACACCTATGCACAGAATTAGAAACTACTTATAAGATCCAATTGAATGTTCACATCTATCATCATCATTTCTGTTTTATAGATGACGTTCAGAAAGGTAAAACCCTTGCCCACGGTGCACAGTGAAGTAACGCCCATATTCTTTATCACTCCCATGTTTTCCCTACCAGTCTGATCACTAGAATCGCAGATCCCTTGGCACCTCTCCAACCTACTGAATCAGAATCTCCAAGAGACAGGCCTGAAAATCTGTATTTTAAATAGGATCCCTGATAATTCCTAGGGCCAGACAAGTTTGGGAACCTTTCTCTAAGCCCTGTTGTGGCCTAGAGAGACTGCCTTCCATCTAGGGTGTATCCTGGAGCCCTGGCTAGTAAAGGGGCTTGTCTATTTTGCTAGGTGTATTGAGAGAGAAATCTCCTTTCACCAGGACTTCCCAGATAAACATTGAAACCTGAAAGCATGGAACAGAGACACAGGTGACAGATATTGG